CCTGTCCCGGGCGCTGGAGACACGGCGCGAACTGCAGACTCCTTGGAGACCTCGGACTCGGATTCGGACTCGGACAGGTCGGGTGCCCAAGGGCCCTGGAGCTGCGGGAGAGGGCTTGGATGGCGGGCGGGCGGGGCGGGCCGGGGCCTAGGAGCCGAGAGGTACCCGCGTGGGCCCCACAAGGCACAGAGGTGGCTGCTGCTCGGGGCGCATGTGTTGACACGGAGCTTGGACCGCCCCTTCCTCGCAGTCATTCACTTCACATCGCGTTGTGAATCTGAGTTTAGTGATCAGTTCTCACGTCATTCTTAAGTTGGTAGCCTGAAAGATTCTGTGTGTAGCCCATATCATTTTTACTTTGTTATTTTTTAATTATTTTTTCTTTGACATTTGGTCGATACAGAGATCCGGACCCGTGACCTTGGTGTTATAAGGCTGCGCTCTAATCATATCATTTTTAGTTAGAATATGGAAAACTTGAGGATGTTATATTATTGCCATAACTACTCAGCTTGGCATGTATCTTTTTGGTTGTAGTTGAATTTTGTGTCAGATCTGATTTTTTTTTTTTTTTTTAATATTGCGTTTAACGTGTGGTCTTGTTTTTTGAGCCGGATGAATTGAGGATTAGGAAAAGGATTACTTTATGCGTTTCAAAGTTGGCTATTTACCATTACATTAATTTTGTAGGATCCTTGTAGGGAGTATGTGTTCATGAAAATAGCTAAACGTTGTTATTCAGTATTGTTCTATGCTCTGCACATGTTTTTATAAGAGTCTTTTTTCATCTTTGTATCTTTTAAATATGAAACCTCTGTGGCAGGAGATGACTCTGTCCAGCATGTGGGATATTTGATTACGGTATGTGGGGTATTGAACAGGTGAACAAGATAGACATGTGGTGGGGAGATGAGACGTTCTCTCTTGTCAGGGAAGTCATCAACTAAGAGTGGGAGTGAAGAAGGGTGAAGGATTTGAGTAGAGGGAAAAGGTTTGAAATAGACTTAGGCGGAGGAAGTAAGGGAAGTAAATACTTTTGGATTTCTCCATAGTCTTAGATTACAGTTACCTTGTCTGTGATGGATATCACAGGCCATGTTACTAGGAATATGAAATAAGTAGTAGATGATTTGGAGACAAATTTTGAAGGCAGACATTGGGATATAGTGTCATAGTAGAGACGACAACTTAGTTTCCGGACACTACTTCTGACCCTTTGTGGATGATGGCAGAGGGTACCAAATATTTGAAAAAATGAAAAGGACTACAACTTTTTTCTGTGTATTAGCTGGGCAATGATTTGACACATGTACATCGTCTTTGGTTTCTCGCTTTTGGTAATCCAGCTGGTAAGATGTGGTATGCTAGGAATTATGACGTAGTACCAGACAGACTCTAGTAGGCAGTTTGAAAGAAATGCTGTGGTAGCCAGGGAAGGAAGTAAATTCTGTTGGTGGGTGGGGAGTGGCTTCAGAGGAGGTAATATTCAAGTTGAACTCATGAAAAGGAATAGAAATTTTCTGGGTTGAGAACATTTCAGGCAAAGGAAATAGCACAATGGCATGTGACAGTGAACATAAAGGGGGATTTGGAAAGTTGTATAAGCTTGTATGCTAGATGTAGGCTCTGTGTGAGAAGCAGTAGGAAATGGTCTTGTGAAGGTTACCCGGGACCTGATTGAAAAGGGCTCTGAGATACCATGCTGAGGAGCATAGCTTTTCTCTTGTACACAGTATAGATTTATGGAGAAACTTTTTAAGCTCTTCTGTATGTTTGAATATTTTCTTAATAAGTGGAAAGAATAGTACAAACCCATATAGCCACCACCTTGATTTAATAGTTATTAACGTTTTGGAACTATTAGTTTTATATATATATGTATATGTATGCATGTTGAACCATTTTAAAGTCATTTACAGATATCATGATGCTTTATTTTTAAATATTTCGGCATGCATTCTCAAAGTGAACATTCTTACATAGACATAATACTATTATCATGCATAACAAAATTAATAATTATCTCATATCTAAAGTCCAGTCATAAGCAGTTTTCGTAAAGCATGCAAGATTATGATTAGGATGGAAGGTAATGCATGAGAAGATGAAGGTAACAGCAGTGGGATGAAGAGGTGACTGTTGTGGGGAGAGGTTAGTATTGTCATCAGTTGTACAATTATTGCAGAAAACCAGGTGAAAAATGAGACTCTGAAAGAGTGTCATAGAGGCAGTGGAAATAAGATCAAGAAGTAGGGCAGTACTGATATTTACCAGTCTGAAGATAGGACTTCATCATTGATGTGTGAATGCAGTAGCTCAAAATGATTCCAGGGTTTCAACCTGTAGAGACTGGATTGAAGACCAAGCAATTAACTAAAATATAAACTCAGGGAGAGAAGCAAGTTCAGTAAGTAGAGTGCACTTTTTTATGTGTTTTTAACTTGGGAGTGTGAGGTATGTATGTGGCATTCATACAGTGGTGGCTAGTATTCTCCTGGAGATTAGGAATTGTGTTAGTCCATTTTATGTTGCTTATTCCAGAATACCTAAAACTGGATAATGTATGAAGAAAAGAGTTTTATTTCTTACAGTTTGGGAGGCCGGGAAGTCATTGTGCAGGGGGTGCACCTGGGCCTTCTTCTGTGTAGCAGCATAGTATATGTCAAGGAATGGCATGAGCAAGAGATAGCTAACCTCATTTGCCCTCCTTGTAAAGCCATCAGAGCCATGCCCATTACTCCATGAATGGACTGGTCCATTTAGGAGGGCACAGTGCTCACAATCTAATCACCTCTTAAAGGCCCCCCCTTTCAAATACCATAATTGGATTTCCCACCCTCTTAACACTGTTACAGTGGAGATCAAGTTTCCAGTACCTGAACTTTTGGGGGACGCATTGACCCATAGCAGTGGTGCAGTTTAGAGATATCAAGGTTGAAGATTTAGGAGTTAATCTACTTGGATGATGACTGGAATCATTGGAGTGGATGAGTTTATCCACAGAAGGAGTACAGAAAGAGGAGAGAAAGTGACTGAAGATGGATCCCTTAAAGATAGAAAACGAGCTGGAGGGGGGAGCCAGGAAACAAAATTTAAACTGAGATGAAGGTTACTGGTTACAAGAGTTTCTGTGGAACTCAGGACCAAAGTAGTTTTCAGAGAGTAGGGTGGTCAACATGGTTGGGAACTGAGGAGTTCCCAAGTTGTCTGAAAACTGAGAAAAACCTTTTATTGATGATTAAGTGATCTGGTCATTGGTGACTGAAAGAGGTGCCTTTCCCAGAGCTCCCTTTTGTCAGTGGTGTGTCACACACTTAATTGTACTCTGATTTGTGTCTTGTGGGACTACTGTAATAAGAGCGTCTGTGTTATAGCAGGGATTTTGAAAATGTTGTCGGTGGATTAAAGACTACTTTCCCAATACCATAGTCAGCTTTGAAATGCTGGCTTTTGAATTAGAGCAGCAATAGTAAACATGTAGTAAAGTAGATATTTCCTAGTTGAATAATCTTATTTTAGTACCATTATAGTAATACTTGGCTAAGTTATCAACTTTTTCTTTCCTACAGTGAAACAGATTCGGATAGTTCAAGCTCCTCCTCTTCCTCATCATCATCCTCATCTTCCTCTGCCTCTTGTATATCGCTTCCTCCAGTGCTGTCAGATGGAGAAGATGATTTACAAATTGAGAAGGAAAATAAGAATTTTCCTCCTAAAACGAAAGATGAGTTACTTCTTAACGTAAGTACTTAGATTTGTTAGGTTTAATTTGCACGTTTTAAAATACATTATGGTACTGATATTGATCTCATTTGGTCTATATTTGCTCCATAAGTTTGAAGTCTGTTCTCAACTTATTGGGCATACTCATACTTATGCCTTGATTTTCTTAAGTAAAAGAGAGGAGTGATCTGGAAAATTTCTAAGGTTGCTTCTAACCCTGTCATTTGATAATTGTTCTTGTTGGGGCATCAACTTTAGCTTCGTACTTTGCATTTTTTATCTTCCCTAGAAGGTCTTGCTTTTTATTTGTTTATTTATTTTTTGTTTTGTTTTGTTTTATTTGGCCCACAAGTCAGAAAATTTTGCTCAATAGCAATTGAAGTTTTTAAAATTGATTACATTTAGAGAAGTAGAAAGTGAAATTAAATGGGTTGAGCTTCTTAGGATTCCAAGTCACCTGAAATTTTTGGAGTGTTTTCATTGTTGCAGTTAAAGTAAACTTGTTTATTGTAGATTGGTATTTATTGACACTTGATAGGTTTGGTTTGCAAAGTTAACTCTTGTGAGGTTTTTTCCTCTTAAACTGTAAACTATCCCTAGGAGGTCTAGTTGAAACCTATGACCCAAGAGTAAAAAATCTCTCAGAATTTCAGAATATAAGTTGTATTGCCACATGTGTTTTTCTCCATCCCCTCTTCCCATGTACTTTTAATTGTTATTAATGCATTTTAAAAATTTAATCACTAATCATAATTATTATATATTTAAATCAATGAGATAGTTTAGTGCAAGATTTGAAAATTTTAAAAACCTAGAGGCAATCAGCAGGTGTCTTTTTCATGACAGTTTGGATTCTACCAATATTATTTATTTATTTATTTTTTCCTACTCTACTTATTTTAACAAATTTCCTGTCTCACTTATGCTTTATGCATTGAAAACCTTTGGAATTGTATGCAACTTCATCAGTAGTTCATGTTTTCATGCTACAGATGTGTTAATATCTCTTAATAGTCTTTTTACACAAAGGCTCCCAACTTAGAACTATTTTCTGAAAGTGTTGGTGAACTTTCTTTTACTGTATCTTAATCACCTTTCTACATAAGTTCCCCCTTAGATTATAAAAACCAACATATAAAAGACTGCAATACTTTTGTAAATGTATGTGTCTTATGTACCTTACTAGATCTGGAATTCTTACCTTGGGAATTCCTTTAAATGTAATGCAAAATTTTAGCATATTTGTTTTGGTTTTTTTTTTTTTTTTTTTTTTTGATAGATTACTCATATGAGTATTTTCATGAGAAAATTAAAAAAAAAAAAAAAATACGCCACAAAGAGGCCAGGAACCATGTTCTTTGAGGATGAGTTTATATATGGTCTTTGTAGCTCCCATAGTGCCCAATAGAGTACTTTACAGATAATGGGTTCTCAGTCAAAACTAATACATGATTATAGAATGAGTGTGTGAATAGCCATCTTATATTTTTTCACTCTTTTAAGAAATTATTGTAGCACATCTGCCGTATACCAAGTGTTAAAAACAAAACCAATCCAGTTTCTGCTCTTACAGTGTTTAGTGGAGGGAGACAGACCAGTAAATAAAGCAAATACAAATAAATGTAATTGCTGAAAGTGCTATTGAATTATGTGACTGTATGTTTGACTTGTATCAGAAAATTTCATTTTTACTGGAAAAAGACATTGTTAGTTTTTAAAACTTGGAACTGTGTGCTGGTCTGTTCCCTTTTGTGCCAGTTCCAAGAGATCTTTGGGAAAAATGGAAGAGGTAATTGTAGTCTTTATTTTTTAATTTTGGATTCTTGATTAGCTGTTGACTTTATTTTGTATTTACAAGATTAGGAAGGAAACTTATTAGAAGTTTGTAGTCCTTTAGACCACTCTGCTGCTAAAGATAAGTATAGGAATGATGAGTTTCCTGGTCTGCCCTAAATCTGATTTAATGGCTCTGAAAGTATATACTGTATTAGGACTCCTTCAGGGTTTCAGCTCTGACGTGCAAGGGAAGAGAATGGCTTGGTCCTGGATACTGAGGATGGTATGGCTATAAGTACTTGGTATATTTAGGATTCTGCCTCTTTCTTCATTGCTTAGTAGGGCTGGCAGTTTGGCCACTGATACTCTTACATGAAAGTCATGGAGAAAACTTTTATTGGCTTACCTGGTCCTGGCATACAGCCTTGAACAAATCATTGAAGCTAGTAGAATGGGTATTTGGATTGCTTGGGCATGAGTCACATAGTCACTCCTGTTTGTGTGGGCGAGTATGTAGGAGAGAGTGTGAGAACTCATGTAGGAAAGTGAATGCTTGAAAGAGCACATGGGCTAGTGTGAGAGAGTGAGAGCGCCTATGAGCCAGTTGACAGAAAGGGAGTGTGAATGTGTATGTATTTAGAGGATAGTGGGGGTTGGATGTGTGGTATCAGCTCCCTTATAAACTACACGGGATGGGTTCTCTATCATGGGAAAGGGAAGTTTATATGTTTTCCAGAAGGGGATGCTGCATAGTCAGCAATAATAGTTATACTCTGTAGAGGGAAAGAGGAAAATATTTGGAAGTGGTTATCATGTATCACTTATGTTGGACTGTTGTGGTTGCTAGGAACAAAGACTCAAATTACTTCAAGAGAACAGGAGGGTTTACTGTAAACTTGCTTGGGTTGGAAAACCACTGGCAACTAAGGCAGCTATTAAGGCTAGTCATGCTGTTTCTTTCAAGTACCACTTGGATATTCTTATAGTTTTCTAAGTGTCATTTTACTTCTTTACTGACTGGCTTCCTCTGTTTTCCTGTAGATTTATCTTTAGTTCTAGCTTATACATGGATTTCTGTGTTCCTGGCTCTAAATATGACATCTTTTTCTTTCAGCTTCCCCATGGACTGGCTAATTAGTATTATATTTTTTTTGCTCACTTTTGGACCAATCCTATTAGTTAGCTTAGATTTGTTATTTTAGGAAAATGATAATCCACTCTTCCTAGGAAGTGTCCTTTCTTTTGCTATAACTAAATCTAGCTGGTGTGGTATGTGCCGTTTTGTTCAGGACTCCTGATACATCACTTGGGATTCTTAGGCAGCAGGGGTTGTGCGTCTTAGCTAGTGTGGAGCTGCTAGCTCTATATGGTCTATTAATTTAATTGAAGAAAATCAATGAACATAGATGTTGTGTTTGCTAAAAGTTATCCATAAATTAAAATGTGCCAAACACATAATACCAATTTTAGAGTTTGTGCTGGACTTTCATGGATCTCTAGAAAAAGCACATGCCTAGTTAACCTAGTTTTATGTCCCATCTCTTTCTAAAGTGTTTCCTCTTCTAGGCAGTTTTCTATTGTCATTCAGGCATGCTGAGCTTAATTTTTACCTCCAGTTAGTCTCCTCTGTCAAGCAGGAATGTTGTAGCTCTTGTCTATCTCTTTAAGTCTTTTGTACTGTTGGAAACCTAGATCCCCCATGATCTACTAACCATGCAGCTCTTTAGTTATAGGTATATGGAAGCTACAGTGAAGTAACTTTGAGATTGTTCTTTTATAGTTAAACCTTAGAGAGATGCAATTACTTTTTTTGAACTGAGTTATAACCAAATCTTGTTATCCCAAGAATATTTGATTGTAATCCAGTTAAAAAAAATGGGAGTTGGGATGGTAAGGGAAAAGAAAAAAGAGGGATTAGTGAGCCAAAGAGGCACTGAAACAGGAGAGTCTTAATTGGTTATCTTCATAAGGTCACAGTTATATGATATGATGTTAAATTTAATCAAGTGGAATTATTCTTTTCAACCTAAACCCTTAAAAGCTGAGAAGGTTTATATGTAGCCTACCCCATAACTAAAGCAGCATGCATATTACAGCTTTGGAACTAAATTAAACTACATAGTATTTATTCAGTGTTTCAATGAATTGGAAAATTACGTTCTTTTTGAAAAAATTTCTCAGCAATTTATGCCCTGAACTCTTCATTAAGATATATGAGATGCAATTAAAAGTTTAGAGTTATGAAAACATTTAGGATTGTGAGATACCAAAGTCTTAATCGGAAATGAGTTTTATAAATTAGTGCTTATTTTTTCTTCTGAAAACTTGACTTTACATAACATTTTAAAATTGTGACTATAGTGTATATGATGATAAAAAATGTTTAATATTTTTGTAGAGATAGTAGTTATAAATATTTAATAGTATTTTTATGCATATAATATAGCATGACCAAGAAAAAAATGTAAGGCTTATAAATCTTAGGAAATTTAGCCTTCATAATTTGAAGACTATGTTATATAAAATTGCACTTTGTAGTTACATTGAGTACACTATATTATTTTTCTGATTCTGGCAGTGCAGATACATATCATAAAATGTTGTAACATGAGCATATGGAAATATCTGGGCCACCTCAACTGGTTAGAAACAGTGGAGTGTTTCGTACCTATTTGATCTCCCATCACCTATGAAATTGTGTTGAAACTTGGTCTATACTAATTATTAATTGAATATCTTGTTTTCAATGCCTAACTTGTTTTATGAGTTGTGTCCTAAATATAGGCCTCTTTCAACATTTTATGTAAACTTTTCATGAGTCTAGATATGTCTGGAATTACTGCATTCTATCCTAGAATACTGATGGCATTGATTAACATTCTTAAAATGCCTGATATTTAAGCAGTGGCCTATATACTTGAAAGGAGCGAGTTTTTCACTAATACTTGGTGCTCTTCAAAAATAACTAATATTCAGATTTTTAAAAAATATTTTGTATTGTACAGAATTATTTCAATAAAGTTCACATGAAACATGAATGATCCTCTAAACTTCAAATACTGTTTTATTCATTAGAGTATCTGTATATGTCTTGTGTATATACATATATGTGATTATTACTACAAAGAAACATTCCATTTTTTAGATTTTTCATTCCCCAGTAGATTTTAATAAGTGAGTTCTGCTGATTGCTTTAGGGGATAAAGACAAATGACTGTTAAAGAGGAAAATAGCTAGAGAGT